AATCGCAGTCACAGATTTTTTTCTTGCATTTTTTGATGAAATATGAGTCATCCATCCTTCCTCGTGCCGTACAAGTGGTTTGGGGAAATTTTTCAAAACCTCGCTTCTCTATAGGGTGCAGACCAGTAAATCGGTCCGAAATTGCCTGCGCCGGCCAAATCACGATTTGCATGGCCTCAAAATCTTCGGTATTGGGCATGCTTTGGGCCATGAACTTGAGGGTTTGTAAAAAATATGGGTGGAAGCCGTGCACAGGACTGGGAGCTTGCAAATTCTGTGTAATTTTGATGTAATTTGGACCCGAAAAGCGCTCTATTTTGCAATGGAGTGTAGGCATCGTTTTTCAAAATGGCGATGGGCTTCAGGACTATTTTCAGGGGTGATCATCTTCAGATGGAAATTTCCCCTAAAGGTCATCAGTTGACCCCCGAAAATTGAAAAGAAAATGAAAGATGATGAAATAAGCTTTAATTTGATGTGCGTCTCGAACACCTGGAGAGTTGTGAGTATTTTTCCCGAATTTTTGAAGTGGGAGCATTTACCATTAGGGTCTATGGAAGTTTATTTACTGGTCTGCTACCTGTAGTTTCAAATGGCGCCTTCCACGTTTGTTTGTCAAATGTTTGCGGGATGTTTTTTTTTCAGGGGGCGGAACCTGGGGGGGGGGGGCAGCGTTTCAAAAGGGGTCACCAATGGCGGTTCCGCAACAAATGCGCCCAAAATCTGAATAGGGCCGATGGACCGTCGTCCGATCACAGCAATTTCGAGCGAACAAGGGGGGGGGGGGGTAATTTGGGGTCGGAAAGAGCAAAAACTCAATTAAAGCCCGTTGGGGGCGCCCTACAGTACGGTAGCCGCAAACAGAGGGCTTGTTTTCAGGCCAGAAATCGCAGTCACAGATTTTTTTTCTTGCATTTTTTGATGAAATATGAGTCATCCATCCTTCCTCGTGCCGTACAAGTGGTTTGGGGAAATTTTTCAAAACCTCGCTTCTCTATAGGGTGCAGACCAGTAAATCGGTCCGAAATTGCCTGCGCCGGCCAAATCACGATTTGCATGCCCTCAAAATCTTCGGTATTTGGGCATGCTTTGGGCCATGAACTTGAGGGTTTGTAAAAAATATGGGTGGAAGCCGTGCACAGGACTGGGAGCTTGCAATTCTGTGTAATTTTGATGTAATTTGGACCCGAAAAGCGCTCTATTTTGCAATGGAGTGTAGGCATCGTTTTTCAAAATGGCGATGGGCTTCAGGACTATTTTCAGGGGGTGATCATCTTCAGATGGAAATTTCCCCTAAAAGTCATCAGTGACCCCCGAAAATTGAAAAGAAAATGAAAGATGATGAAATAAGCTTTAATTTGATGTGCGTCTCGAACACCTTGGAGAGTTGTGAGTATTTTTCCCGAATTTTTGAAGTGGGAGCATTTACCATTAGGGTCTATGGAAGTTTATTTACTGGTCTGCTACCTTCACCACACTGGGTGGGTGTGATCTTCCAGGTCGTCTCTAGCAACACCTCTATGATATACATCAAGGTTAACATTAACGCGAGTGCAAGTACTTACCAATTTGAAAGAACATAATGAACATAGTGGATGCGTCAAATATGCGTATACAAGTGGAGAAACCAACCCTCCCAATGAAGGCATATAACGTTTCCGGAATCATCTGGCATGGCTCGATACACCTTACCAGCAGAATGGCTGGCAGTTCCAAGTGGTCAACGGTGCCAGGACCAGCTATCGCTGGGCTCCCTATACGAGCCGCACGTACCCTACGGGGCGCACCCTACACTGAGTGACAATCCACACGGGAACACAACCCCTAAGTTCCAGGCCCCGACAAGAACCAAAGGGCTGACCCTAACGGCTACCACTCCGGGACATACAAGACCTGAAGGACCCGCTGCCAACGCAGTTTGATACCTTCGATGACTTAGATGCGCGCTTTCCTACACCTCAGCTCCACATAAATCCGCCACGTATAGGTGCCAGCGCTCATGTCAAACCAAAACCGCAGGCCGAGCTGAAAAAGATGGATAAAGACTGGGTCATACGAAAAGTCTCCCATTGCACAGACGGGAGCCGCTCAGTCACAACAACTGCCAAAAATACGGCCCATTCAGGATGTGTCTGGATCCCAAGCAGCTAAAACACACGCCTTAGTTCTTCTCAAAGCTGGACGTCAAAAGCAGGGTATTGTCTTCCCATCTCGAGCATAGCAGTCTGAAGAGCTGACAACATACAATTTGGTTGTCGGCAGCTTTCGTCGCCCACTCATCGGCTTATCAGTAAGCCAGGATAATAGTCCAATCCAACGACATTGCAGTACATATTCGGTCTCCCTTGGGAAGCATTACGAGCGACCGAACGTCTCATCGCCCTGATGGAAACCGTCGGTTCTTTAGCATACTTCAACATTGTCTCACACTACACCCCAAATTGCGCAGAATTTCTCGCTTCAGCGATCTTCTTCAAAAAGATGTACCATTTCTCTGGCAAGAGGACCATCAAGCTTCTTTTGTAACCCTTAAAAACTCCATCTCAACTCAGTCCTGGTACGATTCTCCGACCCACAGGTATAGAAACCATCCTCAAAGTACTGCATCTGAATGAGGATTGGGTATCACCTAGGAAGGTAAACCCATCGCATTTGCCTCAAAGATCCCATAGATACTCTTCCCAGAGCATATTCTCGATTATTAACACCCGAATAAATCCCCGTCATCTGATTGGTGGATCGTTGATCACATGTATCATTGAATTATTTGTACCAACGCACGGCACGCGCGTGGCGTGAAGCGCACAGTGCAATGGAAGTTCTATTGGCACTGTGAATATAGTCTGGTTCCCCGACCTGACAATTTCCCCCGACGTCTACACGTCTAAATTGTAGGTCAGGCAACCTCCGTGGCTAAAAATAAACATGACGACATTGACGGCCCTTTTCAAAGCTCGGCTTCGTTTCTGAATTCGCTTTATCACATAAAGCTTTTAATGTTCCGATCATTTTTTTTAAAATAAATCACTTGCTTCATATATCATACAGTTATGATATACAGTTTAATACTTCTGAAAACATTGACTAATTTTGACCTGGAATCTTCAAAGTTAGACACCCAAACAGCACTGTAAGCAGGCGGAGCCGAATTGAGACCACGCCGAGTTTTGGAAAATGCCGGTAACGGTCGTCAAATTCAAACTAGTGCGTGACGCAGCAAAAAAGTTCGCCCCTCGTATACGATCCGAGTGCAAAATCGTCGTTGAATTTCAAGTTTTCTAAATAAAAGCAATATATATTAATTATCAACTAGTTTTTTAAAGTTTTTAATAAGCAATTAGCAGTTAATAAAACCTATATTATACTCGGAATACTCGGACACTATCCGATAGTCGACGAAATGAATTCGGCAAACTTCGGACATTTTCGGAAAAAGGAGGAATTCCTCCCGTTTTAGTCACTAATTGTAATACATTGTATTACCGGAGGCTACCTGACCTAAGATTCATCAGGAATAGTCGGAATCTTTTGGTCTGGGAACCAGAGTACTGTGAATAGAGCTTCCAAACTGTGTCACTGCTGGTGTTGGCGCTGTTTTAAATAGAGATAAATTGAATAGGATTGTTCTCAACCTGTTGAACAGTTTGCATTATTATAAATACTAGTGCAGTGCCCGTCTAAAATGTGCATGTTCGGGAAACGCAAATTGCTTTGCCGCTGGTATAGGTTGCATACTTGCAGAGTTTTGGAGAACTGCTCGTGCAAACAACGCACGCGATTCAATGGTGTTGTTTTTCACAGGTTTGAACGCACACTTACGTCAAAATTTTTGCCAAGTTTGAAGTTCGACCACCTACAATGGTCGCTCAGTCGACTGCAAAAATAATGTGCCCGTGTACATACGAAAAACATGGTATGCAGTGCTATTCACCCATTGATCCATTAGTAATTCACCCATACTGGACAGTGTATCGCCCTGCAATGCACGTGCGCGTGCCCGTCCTTTTTGCATTGTTTGCGTCATATTGAGCACGCGCGCTTTAGCTTAAACATGACGTAAACAATTGAAAAGAACGGCAGTGCGTGCGGTGGTGTTATGTTCTAAGCTGCCACGTTTGCCTCCGAAAATACTGTTTTTTGCAGCTTTTTCGAGAACCGCTGGTCCAAACCACTTCAAACTTGACACTGCACATTCTGTTGTCCCGAGCAATACACCCGCCGATTTTCAACTTCATACGGTGCCCGGTTCTGGAGATAATCGACGGACAGACAGACAGACAGAGATTCCTGGAATTATAGTAAGACTAGTGCAGGGCCAGTCGAAAATATGCGTGTTCGGAAGGGGCAGTTGAGAACTGCAGCTCGTGCAAACAACGCACATTATTCAACGGTGTGAACGCACACTCGCAAGTTAAACTCACAAAATGTCGTCAACCCCCCCCCCCCCCCCCCCCGGCACATTCTGTGCAGTGATGGTTGCTCAGTTGAGTACAAAATGCATGTGCCCGTGCATGCCACTCACGTATTGCAAAAAGTTCGCTGGAACTACGCTGCATCGGTGTCCTGTTTATTACGTCACGATTTACTATGTTTTGTTTGCTGCCCCCAACGACGACTTTTACACAAATTGCACGTTCGGGTCGTAACAGGACCTGAGAAACAGCTCTCAAAAGTACCTTTTTATTCATTTCATGACAGAAACAAGAGTCGTTTTTATTTCATCACACCTTAGACTGCATATACCCGAAAAATGACAGAAATGTCTTCGAGCATTCCACAACCTCTTTAAACAGATTTTAACTTTTATAAATTAGCTATTAAAAGTCAACCAATCAGATGACAAGGATTTATTCAGGTGTTTTATAAAACAAATAATGATTGTTTCACGTTCGTGCAATGGAAAGAATAATTTCATTTGGTTCATTTGGCTTCGCCTCGTGGAATGAAATTAGTCTTACCGTTGAATTATTGTATACTGACTTTTGTTGGTTGCAGAAAAAAAAAAAAAAAATTGCTGACCGGCGCATGCGGCACTCTCCTCGACCCCGCGTCACACTCGTATCTTTAGGATTTTTGGTGGGGACGTGGTTGAAACTTCACCACTTTCAAGACATGCAAGATGGCGGCTCGCATGTCGTGCATGTGGCGATACGCGGTAAGTAAGTCATAATTTATGGATAATAATAAGACCCAGGCAGTGCGTCCTGTATAAAAGTATGGGAATTTATTAGCCCCACTAGTGTGACCGCGGTATGCTGCGCTGAACCTCTGGCCACACACCGTGTTACCGCGCACTACTGAGCAGTGAGGGCGTTTTCATAAAAATTAGGCAGTGGATATATTGCCGGAGACGGCAAACCTTTAGTAAACGTTAGTTTGCCGGATATGCACTGAACATGCGCAGTTACTGTTTTTTGGGCAAGATTACCATATGCAAAGTTCACTCATTTTCCTCTGTATGTATTGACTAACAAGCCCCCAGATAGCAATTTCATGAATTTCATGTCATCAAATTAAATTTGAGCAGTGAGAGAATACAAGCATGACATGGTTGACAAGCATTTTCTTACAAATCTTAGAAAACACTTAGAATTTTTCAGTCCACTCTCATAGGGTTTGTACACAGAGTGTTGAGTGAACTTCGTATATGGAAATCTTTCCTTTTTTTGTAGGTAGTGGATATTTTGTCGGAGGTAACGCTGGCAAACTAACGTTTACTAAAGGTTTGCCAGCGGCAATCCATATCAACAGAGGGCGCTGTACTCTTTAAGATAGGGCTGAATTATAAGATATACCGGTATTTAATTCCAATTGAAGTTGTGTAGCACAGTCGGTGCAGTGAGTGGTTAAGTAATGGCTCTAGAGAGTGGGATGTCCCGAGTTCGAGTCCTGATCCCCTCCACATTTTAAAGTTTTTTTTTTCCATCCCCAAATAAATAATAATATTCTTCTTTTATTATTTTAATATGTCTCAAACATTTTATTGCAGAGTATTACTTTTTCTTTTTCAGATTTGTGGCTCTGGAGGAATTTTTTTTTTTTAAAGGGAAATAAAGTCCGAAATTATAAAATGGTCTGATTCCCATCTTGTAAATACAAAGTTACAACGATAATATTGGCATGGAGCCAGACTAAAATTTGTCACCGGAAAATGTTTAAGTTAAAAAAAACAGTAACTGCGCATGTTCAGTGCATATCCGGCAAACTAACGTTTACTGAAGGTTTCCCGTCTCCGGCAAAATATCCACTGCCTTTTTTGTACTAAAACATTTTCCGGTGACAAATTTTAGTCTGGCTCCTTGCCAATATTATCGCTGTAACCTCGTAAGTCGTATTCACAAGATGCAGAGATGCCAACATACACGATTTGGGCGTAGCATCTACGAATTTGAGCCGTGAATACGACTCTACGCTTATACTTCATTGAAATACGATTTTTATAAATATAATTGACAATTGTATTTATGTAATTTTACATCTACTAGTGAACAATTTATGAAGTATTACATGTAAATGGATATACAAATGATAAATGAAATAAAATATAAATAAAAACCTTTTATTTAATTAAAAGAAGATTATGAAGACCGCCGTCAAAGGCATTGCGATCGTGGAGGTGTTCTTAATCTTACCACCACGTTCGGGCGGCGAGCCGCGACAGACTATTTTACAACCACTAGTCGATTTTCCATGGTAACCTATGCACGAAATACATATTGGGTACCAGGCAAAATCGACCAATGGTTGACGAATAGTCGCCACGCGCGGCGAGTTCGCATTATGTACATGTACATGTATGCTAGATGTACACATCCGCGTTAGACTCGATTGCCAGAAACCAGCCTCACTCTAGACTTGATTTCAAGTCGGAGATCGCGGTTGCGCCGCGCAATATTTTGCAACAGCACCACTGTGCTTCATTCAGTACGAGCTTCATAAGCCAAAAGAGGGTGTTATTTACGATGTGGTTATGGAGGAAACCCACGATCACAGACTTGAAAGTCTGTGTTTTACGCATGCGGGGCGTGATCGTACCCAGTGATTATCATTGCATATATAATTATAATACAGAATAGTGTAGTGCGTGCACTACAGTATACATGTACATGTACATTGTACTTCAACGAAGCTGGCTGCATCAAAGCTTAGCCCGGGAAAGCTGGAATAATGGAGACTCCTCTGAAAACAAAGAGACTTTCTGAGCAGAAATACCTTCCGGAGAATGAGCTAGGTAGCATAACATAGAGTAAAGATTATGGTTTTGGAAAGCCTACATGTAGGTATCCCTTGACCTAATGTGCTCGGCGATGCCGGTATGGGGGTTCAAACAAACTCTGGGAAGATTTCCATACGCGGACAATGCTTATTATTCCCTATAGTGACCTACATTGTACAGCCATGAAATGCAATGATGACCTCGTCGGCTGTTTCCTGTGCCGTGGATCCTGAATGGAGATCAGTGCACGTGGCCCCCAGACGATAAATGCATGGTACAGGAAACAGCCGTCGCATTTGCAACTCGCGCCCTCGCTCGACAAGCAATTTGCATAAACGCGACGTCACAGCTTGAGGTCATCTCTTGTCACATTCAAAATGGCTGCCATCGCCAGACGTTTCACGAGTGCATATGGGCTCCAGAAAGATTCAAGAATATCTCGGAAAATTGAACATCATTTCACCTAAGCATCCCAGAAGTGATAGATGGGACATCATAGAATACAACCATATGTAAGAAACGGACCGTAATTTTTATGAAAACGCCCTCAGTAGTGCGCGGTACCGCGGTTGTGTGGCCAGAGGTTCGGCGCAGCATACCGCGGCCACACTAGTGGGGCTAGGGAATTAATCAGTTACTTATACTACAGTTGTTTTCCTAGTTCCGGATAGCAAACATCATTTAGGCTGCTTTTGGCTCAACTACCGGTAGGCCCGTACTCGTTTTCCACGATCGTGTAGGCTAGGCCGGTGGCGATTGTGAAGTGTTGGGCCCCTGTTTTGTTTTGATGAAATTAGAGTCAAAATGTTTTTGTTTTTTTATTGCTCAAAAATCACCTTTACATCAAAATCAAAAACAGACTTTTCTTAAATAACACCTGTTTTGCAATTTTGAACAGATGGGTAGAAATCATGATTTTCCAGCGTGGTTTTGCCTTGCGATTGCACTGTCATCGTCATTTTACCCCCAAATTTCCCTCAAAAAGTCAAAACTCTGCCCTCAGTCTATGAGTATGACATACCTGCTTATTGAGAATGTCGCCAACTAGTTTGGTAGGTCCAATAATTTTGAAGTGGATTTTGTTCCCTTAATATTAGGAACCGGGCCCTACACTTCACGATCGCCGTGTAGGCGGCCTAGGCCTAGTCCGAGTAACTTGGACCCAACTTATCGCCTTTTAAGCATTCGGACATCACCAAGCTAACCCCACTTGTGTGGCCTCTGTATTGCTGCGCTGTACGTTAGGCCACACATCTGGTTTTCCAACCTGCTGCTGAGGAGTCGAGTCCATTCTCTGGCGCACCCTGTTTTGGCACCTTTTTTTTTACCTACCACTGTATATGGTTGTATTCTTTGATTTCTCATCTTTTGCCCTCTGGGTAGATTAGGTAGGCCTATTCTGTCTTCAAATTTTTCGAGAAATTTAGACATCTTTCTGGAGTCCATATGTGCCAGTTTCGGACTAAACTCCTCAGTAGTCCGAGTAACTAGGACTCTACAGATCGCCTTTTGGACATGGGCGGGCGATTAGTAGAGTCTTAGGTACGTGGCCGTATATGGTTACCATTAATGTGTTTTGACCATTTTCAATCGTACCCCCAATCAAAATTGTCAGATTTCACCACAAAAAAAGTCTTCAAACTGCCTTATGCGCCCCTGTGGCTTTAGTGGGAATTGGAAACTATACAAATGATGGTGGTTAGGTTCACATACCTTAAAGAAGAAAAGAGAAATTGCACCTTCATTTTGGAAACCAGCCACGCCGAGCTGTCGTGCTGGTAAAAGCCATCTTGAATGTTGTTGTTGTGTGCGACAGGGGTGTGAAATCTCAGCTTTAAAGCTGATTTCAGCTTTTTTGGTTTTGGATTTCAGCTTTTTCCCCTCACTTGCTGTGTACAAAAGTATAGGAGATATCCAGACTTCAGCTTTTTTTACACCTTTTTCAGCTGTTTTCAGCTATTTTTATCAGTGGTCACTCACAGCCCTGGTGCGATTCATTCAAATTGTGAGGTCAAACTTGATGACGTATGACGTGCCGGCCGAGCGCATGCCTGCATTCACAATCAGGCATATCCTGTGTGCACGCGTACACTGGCAACTGTTTACTGAACGGCGCGCGCAGCCTGCACATGTATATCGCATGCACGGCTATGCGCGCCGTTCAGGAAACAGTCGCCGGTGTAGGAACTTTTAGGAACCGGGCGCATAGATAGATACATGATTGCCAAAAAGTTTACCCATGGGCATGGAATAAGTTAAGTATTAGGGGAGTGTACATAAGGGGGTCCCCCCGTGCATCCCCCCCCCCCCCCCCCAACTAACTTTCACCAATTTTTTTGGAAAAGGGAAAAAAAAAATCTGATGCGAAGGAGATATTCAAGATGGCGGCCAATATGGCCGCCAAAAATGGTAAAATCTTGAAAAAAAGCATAAATCAGCCAAATTATGTGATAAAAGCTTAAATAAAATGGTTAGTTATATGTTTTAGACCCTCAACAACTCATTTCTGGTATCCTTGTTTTGCTATTATGCTTCAAATTCAAGATGACGGCCAATTTGGTGGCCAAAATGGCCGCCATATTGGTAAAATATGGAAAAAGTCATATATCAGCCTAATATTATGATATGTAAGTGAAATTGTTAGTTATACGTTTTTACCCTCACAAATTCATTTCTGGTATCGCTTTTTTTCTATCATGCTTCAAATGCATGATGGTGGCTAAGATGGCGGCCAATATGGCTGCTAATATGAGAAAAAAAATGGGGGGAAAAAATCATATTTTAGCGAAATAGTGTGATAAAAGCATCCATAAAATTGTTAGTTATGTTTTTGACCCTCGCAAACTCATTTCTGGTATCCCATTTTTTGCTATCATGCTTCATATTCAAGATGGCAGCCAGGATGGCCGCAAAAATGGCCTCCAAAATCGGTCAAATGT